CTAAATAATAGTAAACCTTTTTTTGATTTACGGTATTTTGATGTTTTGAGCTCTTTTGTGTTTAGAACAATATATACTAATTTTGAAAGTATCAAATTGAATTTTTGTTCAATAAAAATCTTTCAAATGCTACTGTAGTTTTTTCCCCAAAACTTTGTCTTCAAAATAAGGGTGCGTCTTATACACCGGTGGGTCTTATATTCTAAAAGATACGGTAGCTTAAGAATAATGCTAGATGGGTATGTCAGATGAACACTGTAGTATGTATACTATTTTATTAAATGTTTTACAGTCTTCAAATTTTTCTGTTGGTAGACTGACAAGGTAGTATTGTGTTAATCTAATGATTATTTTAAAATTTTGATGGGTTTTGTATTTTCTAAAACTACTAAGTTTGTACACATTTCTTTGTCTAAATGCAAGATTGATTTTTTTTCTCTTTAAAACTTTTATACAAGAATGTGTTGTCAAATTCTTTTACAAATTTTTACTGATGTATCATATAAAAGTTGGTATTATAACCAAAAGCTTGTGAAAAAATGTACTTTTAATTTTTTTTAAACATCATATATAAACCATCAACAACAGTATTCATAAAGAAAAATTCCTATATTCTTGCATCATCATATTTCAAAGGAGTAGATGTATTACTTTTTGTTAATTACCCTTATTTAGGCACTGCTCCTGACTTATTTTTATAAACTTTTGCTTTTTCAGCCAGCCAAGATGTAGAACTTGATGCAATATTAGGAGAACTTTGTGCCCTAGGATCCCATTTTGATAGAGAGATGCACAGAGGCCATGCTAGGAGTGTATCAGGTGATAATGATGGTTTGAGGTTGTCCAATTCTGCTACAGAGGCAAGTCCAGAAATTCACAGAGCTGCTCAACAAATATCTCGACAGTCTGGAAACAGCCATTCTAGTTCTGGAGGAAGTAAAACAAAATTTGAAATTGGAGGACCTCAGGTATATGTAACGGAAAGAGATGAGGGTAGTCGAGGTCAAAAACACGAATTTGGACTTAGAACCGATAGTCCAGATAATGACTCGGCTTTTTCAGATAATGTGTCAATGCTGTCTTCAGAATCATCTGCTTCTTCAGGAGTTGGAGCAAACAGGAGTGATGTATCTAGTCAAAATATATATGGACGACCTGGTCATGTACCACAAACTTCACAGTCATCTCAGGTACAAAAGCTTTTAACTAAGCGAATGGTCATTGAAACATTTTATGAATAAATAAGTTACATAATAACTAATAATAATAAAAGAGCACAATATCATGTATAGTAATTAGTGAAAAAACCACAGTAAACAGAACATAAAAAAAAAGACATAAAATATGGAAACCAAAACAATGCCATTTTTCTTTGTATGAGAAATTCTGGCCTTCAAATTGATTGGAAATCAACAAGAATTTTATACAAAACGGATAACTACATAAAAAGAAGAATCATTGAAAGTTGCCTGCCTAATTTCAACACCTCCCAAGGTCGCTTTAAACTTAACAACTTCCTGACCTCCTGTGTCCTTAAGGGAATTCCAAGATCATAGGTCACGTAGGCATTTTTTTTACCAGTTTTTTTCCTGCCAGAAGACAATGTGAGACTGAAGAGGATGCATGTGTCAAAACTAGTTTCTCTGATATCAGACTTCTGACAGTTTGTTCAATTGACTGTGGTTTTTCACTAATTATATAATAACTGTTCTCAATTCCATAAGGTCCTTAATTTTCATCATTCTAGATTAATAAAAAATAAAACCACACTTTATAGTTAATAGTTTTGGTTTATACGTACTGATAAATCCATTAGTAGCATTGCAGTGACTTTCAGTGCATTGTTTTTACTTTTCTCTTATTGTACTTTGCCCTCTTTATTGTAATAACAAATGTGTTTAGTTATGATTCAGTAACTCTCCAATTATTAGTTATCTATCTTATGTTAGTTAATAATTCCGTTAGTAATAGTACAATGATATTTTGTACGGTTCTTCTACTTTTCTGGTATAATAACTGTGAAAATGTATATACATTAATAATTTTCTTATTGCTACACCATCAGTAAGTTTGGTAATTTTTCAAGAAAACATTAATAAAAATGAAATGAAAACTATGGACAAGAAATAATCAAGTAAAAACTTGAAAGATGTTTTATGATTTGAAATACAAGTACTTTTTGTGTATAAACAGTTTGTTTAATTTAATATGCAGTTATAAATGATTTAATGAATATTTCATTATAAAAATACATATTAATTAATTGCCAAAATTTCTCAGGATGACCAAGCTCGCATCAAATCGGAAAAGATCAAACTTGCCATGGAGAAAATTCAAGAATCAAACATCAAGAAGGTGAGGTTCTGCTGAAAAGTTAAACTTTTAAACTGTTGCTTCTTTTTAGCATGTATAATGCAAAGTGTAAACTTAGTCAAAATTTACATCTCTGTAATAAAATTTTCACAATTTCAATTCTATTTTAAATATCTGTGGTGCCCACAAAAAGCAATGGGGGCCAATGTCCTGTTTTCTTGCTGTTTAAATTAGATTGAAAACTTTTATCTGACTTTATAAACACTGTCTTGATGCTCCAGTTGTCTGTGCCTAGGTATATTGTAGCTGAACCTCTTTAAACAACAACAAAAACTTTTCTACCTTGACAGGTTTTCATCAGAGCCTACACAGATGATGACAGTACAAAAAGCTTATTAGTTGATGAGAGAATGAACATTGCACATGTATGTCGACTTCTGGCTGAAAAAAATCATACTAAAATGGATCTTCATTGGGCTGTTGTAGAACGTGATTACGACTTGCATTTAGGTAGTTACCTGTTGTTGTTTCTTTTACAACTGAAAAGTTCAGATGTTAAGTGATGATACTCGTTGTGTGAGAAAATATCCAGCTGTTTAGATTTTATATCGAATTAGGCTTAAAGCTAAAGCTCTTTTTTTTCAAAAAATTACATTTAGTGAGGTAATATTAATTTTTGGCCATTACAGAGTCACAAAAGTGAAAGGTAAATAATGTTAATTAATGATTTTCATAACTTCTAGTAATTTAATGGGACCTATACTCATCTGCTTTTTTTTGTGAGGTTTAAGTTTTATTCTAGTACTGCTCTTCTGTTTGTATCTGTTCTAAGATTTCAGTAAATAAAACATTTGACTATATTGGCAGTCATTATGTTTGTGATAAATAGTGTGTAAGAGAACCATATATTTAAATCTTTTATGATTTGACTGTACAGAACTATATAAGAATAAATTTTGTTAGTGCAAAAGGTTAAAGAAATTAATCTCAATGATACTGAACAACATTACAGGAAAATGTGCAATGAAATAGGAACATCTGATTGGACAAAATGCTTATGTAACATTTTGTTGATCTCAGAATGGGTTTATGCATAAATTATGTTTAAGTATTGTAAGGGGGAAAAGTAAATGGTTTATCACAAATTAAGAACAGTTTTAACAATACATTTTCTGTTAGTTGGGTACAAGTTATTTGAAGGAACCTGCCATAAAACTGATTCTATGTGACCTAAAGATGAATAAAGTGTAGTACATTAAAGACCATTGTTGAAAAATGTTCAGTTTAAATCTATCAAACACAGTAAATTGATAGGACAAGAGTAAAAGCGTATTCTTGTGACAATTAGATACATAACATGTTAAAAAAAAGATGTTTTATGTCATTAGACCCCATAAAAAAAATCATTAATGTGTTTTAGACAACAGCTTCAGAGTTACTTGTGGTATCACATATTTGTAAGTTGGGTATAATTGATGCAGTGCTTCCAACTCTCAAACTAATAGTGTTGTTTTATTGTGCCTTTATTTACTGTGGAGCTAAGTAATAAACATGTTTCCTTTGAGTATTACTCAAATAGTGTTTTTTGTTTCCTAGATCGTATGTTTGAAGATCACGAAAACTTGGTGGAAAACATATTAATGTGGACCCAAGATGCGACACATAAATTATTGTTTCAAAAAAAGGAGGAAAAATATGATGTTTTTGCAAATCCTGAAGTAAGCATTTTTGGAAAAACCTCATGGCTTAAAAATATTCACAATTGTTTATAGCATTTACTGAAGAAGCAAGTATGACAAATAAAAGCTAGTGTAGCTCCTCAGTTCAAACCCAACATTTTGTAGTGAAGGCAATAATCTTCAAACAGATAAACACTATTAGAGCTTTGGTTTTATTTCACTTTTTTTTTCTGTTGCTAGTTTAAAAGTTCAATGTTAAGATGAACATATGTTAGTTGTAACATAGTACTACGTAACATTTCCACAACTGTTTGATGAAGTACAATGTTAAGATGAACAAATTTTAGTTGTAACATAATACAACATAACAGAAGACAAAATATTAGTTTAAAGCTATGTAACATGACAGATGAATAACTCATATTTGACTTATTATGATATAACAGGTGATTATATATTATTTAATATAATATGGTTTATTAGTTACTACAATGCAGCCTTACTGAATATTATGTACAGATGAAACTACCCTAAATATAGACTACATATAATTCAAAACAAGTCTGTTTGAACATTACATGCACAATGAATATTTTACTGAACTTATTAATTAATAATATAAATTTAAATCTATTTGATTAAATTTTGATAACAGTACTATTCATGAGATTAATCACCAATTTTGTTTTTTGTCTCTTGAGAGACTTGAAAAATGATGCTTTTTCTACTGAAACTTTTTGTAGGTGTTTGTCCAATTATGTGCTGATGAAAAGCTGAATCCTATAAAATTTCTAATAAACATTAAGAGAATAAATGTCAACCCCAAATAAAATGTAAACATGTTAGCTCAAACTTTTCTGATCTTCTAGAAAATTAAGTTTGCCCCAATATCCTAGAGATCACACTTTCTTTTAACTCTTTCGTACCCAGTTGGGTGTATTGCATTAAAAAAATGATAAAATAAACTTGTAGCTAATTTTCCACACATTAAAAACTAAAATATTTCAGAGTTGGAATTTATACAATAAAATCGTTTTATTTTTTAATTTCATACACAAGAAATTTAAATAATTGCAGATTTTAATTTTGGGTTAGTTTCAGCACACTCCCAACAAAGTCATCAGTGTTTGTGAATTTTCTGAATTTTTTTTCTAAGTATCGTATGACACTTGTACACCATTAGGGGGAAAGTCATAATAACTTAGGACAAAATAGCACTAATTTGTCCTTTTAACTTGAATATAGGGTAGTTTTAATGATTTTACGCCAATCCCCGTTTCTCAACCTCTTTTGTTATGGTGTGATGTAACTGCCTATATCTCAGCTTTGAGAAGTCATAGCTGATCTTGACAAGTATTGAAAGCACTTTTTCCATTCTTTTGAACTAAAAACTGTTAAGGCATCCATTTTATCTGAGAATTTCTTGGAGATTGGAACAAAGTGATAAAGGCTTAACTTGGTGATACATTGCTAGAAGAAAAGGCGATTGTGAACAACTTCTGCTACAGTTACAGTTCGTGTTTGTTTACAGCTAGTAAAAAGCTTGTTTTATGAATTATGATGTTGAGGTATAACTGGAAAATAAATGTTTTTGTGGAACAAGATAGGTAGGTTAGATTTAATTAAACCATGTTACACCTACTCAATTAAGTTTTCTTTTGCTGACAAAACTGCTGTGTTAGGCCTTGTTGACCTAAGTAACTGCTTGAATGTCTTTTCAGATAACATGCATTCAAAATGAATAAATTAACATAAAACAGGTTTAAACTTATTACATGTATTAAGTGAAACATTCTGATTGTAATTTTAAAGAAAGATTGGCTTACTTATAATTTTGGTAAGATAAAAAAAGTTATTTTTATTGTATGCTCATGGTTGTAAACACAGCAAAACTGTGTGTGTGTGATGTTTTTTGAATCAAGACAAAGATAAAATAAGGAAAGTTATAATAGAATGAAGGAAGACAAAAATCGGTAATTAAAATCTGCAACAAAGGTAAGCATTTTTAATTGTTTCTTAAAAAAACATATTACAAGTAAATCTTAAATTTCATAAAAATATCAGATATAAAAATAAGATTTTATTTGTAGAAATTAGATGATTGATACAAAATAATTCTGAAGTTTAAAATTATTTCATTGAGTAGTTTTTTTGTTTTTTTTTTCACAATGGAATAAAACAAACTGTGCAACAGGTGCATTGAATCGATTTACCGAGTCTCGTAGAGTTAAATAATACCTCAGACAGTATATTACCTTTTTTATTTACAGTGCTCATTATGAAGGGAACCATAAGTGGTACAGTAAAGTATGTTATATTAAGTCTGTTCATCTTGTATGGTTAGAAAAAAAAAATATGGTGGGAAGCCACAGATATATATTGATAAGACTTGTTGAAATAGTAAGAAAACATTTATGTAAACATGTAGTATAAGGTATATGTATTCTGTGTTAAAATGTTTTTATTGGTATAAACAAAGCCATTGAAATGAACATTAATATGAACAGAATATTTGAAGGTTTTTGTTTTTTTCTATAATTGTATTTGTAATATAAAAACATTATGACAACACTAAAGAAACAGAAAATTTTTAAATCAATAAAAATATTGTAAATTCAGAGTATTAGAACAAGTTATATTTCTTTTAAACATTTAGCAAGTTGTAATGCTTGAACCATTCTGTTGTTTGAGAAATTTTATTTTTGTAATCAGTTGCGAGATAACAGAAATTGGAGCCATTAAACACAGATAAGGTTATTATTTCATGCTGAAATGTTCAACAGTAAAGTATCAAGTATCTGCAATACAGCATTTTCCAGAAAATAATTTCAAGTACAAACAGCAAAGGAAAACCAACCAAACACAAATGAGCAACTAAATAGTATCTTTATTTATTGTCAGTGTCATTTTTACTTTATTAGTCAGTCTAAGTTTGTTGTTGATTACAACTACTTGCTTGTGCAGGGAGAAATGATATCTTATTTCAGTACAGGAAAAAGACTAGGTCAAGAAGAATTACAATATCACACTATCAGGTTAGATAGACCAAGGTCCTATTGCCATATCCCACAGTTCTTAGATTACCTACATCAATGACCATCCCAATATATATATATAAGATTTTGATACAAAATAATGTTGTTTTTTCTCTTTCTAATAGGACTATCTTCTTGGTTGTACATCATCACAGAAAGGTGCTGAAATGGATGATGAAGGCAAAGCTACACTAATTGAGGTGATTAGTTTTCAGCACTTCTGAAACTTTCGAGGTCATAATAATTTATAGGATTCAATTAAATCACAAACTAGAATATCGATAATATACAAATTAACAAATTTGGAAAACCTCCAACTAATTTATAAAGTTGCATGGTATTATACCAGTATTAAAGAAATAAAAGTAAAGTCTTATTGTTATTGATATATGCACTGCCATATCAGATTCTACATCTTTTAAAAAAACAAAGCTTTGATAAGTAGATTTAAGAATAAAAGATTGTAGAATTTATATTAGTTCATAGTAACACTTGCCATTATCAGTGAAACTATACCTTTATTACTGTTAGTCATTAATTGAAGGAACAAATATACTGTTTAAATGTGGTGATAACCATTTATTTCCTACTTAATATCTTTATTTTCAAATACATTTTTAAGTGCATATTAAATATTGATTTAATATTTGACATAAATATTATTATATTTGTTATTACTCTCCAAAAAATTGTTTTTTAGAAATTAAATTGATTATTTAATACTCGTAAAGTTCACAAAAACAATTACTAGGCCCTCTTAAGATACATATGATGATTAAGTTTAGTACTGCAAATTATCTATAGACTATACAGACTTTTTTATTAACAGGCAGTTGTTATTTTTGTTTTTTAGGAGTTTTTCTCAGCAACTAGAATAGCAGTTCCAGAAATGGAAGGCAATCTATACTTAAAAAGTGATGGAAAAAAAGCTTGGAAAAAGTACTTTTTTGTCCTGCGTGCATCAGGCTTGTATTATAATCCAAAAGGAAAGTCAAAGGTAGTCCATTTTTTGTGAGAGCATTCGTTACAAGTAAAAAGTTCAGACTTAATCATAGTCGTTGATAATTGAACTTGTAAATATCACTGAATTTCATATGATACATTCAGATTTGTTGGAAAATCTTGTAGTAAGGGAAATATAACTTTTAGCTCTTGGAGAAAAAGAGTTTATTTATGTATGTGTGTGTCAATATATATATATATATATATGTATCTTTATAGAGAGAGAGAGAGCACACAAGTATAAAAGTTTCAAGTGTTAGTCACTTATTATGAATGGGGCTTATCCTCAGGGGACCATATGATGATACTAAGTCCCAACTAGTATAGGCCCTCTTGTAAGATACACAAAATTAACACTTTTGGAAGCCAGGGGCTCATCTATTGCCCAGTTGCAACTCATGAAGAAATATTTGAGGTCCTTATGAGTGAACAACTAAGCCCCTCTCCCATATCCCTTACTGTAATATCTTATTCATGTACATTAATCTTACTTACATAACATTATTAGGATTGAACTTGGGTGAAAATATTCTTGCTCCATAGTTTTCTAAGGCCTGCATATGCCACTGTTGAGTGTTGTCAATTGTATATTTTTTTCTTCTCTTTTTTTTTTATGTCAGCTCATGATTTCCAGGTTGATTATATCATGTACTTGCTTCTTGAAACTCAGCTTGTAAAATTCAGTACTATCAGCCCCTTACCGTATAAATATTTTTCTAATACTGACCAACTATCTTAAATTATCACAGATAGAGCCGAGTGATTAAGGAAAATCATGATTAAATTGATTAATATCACAAAATTCAGCTAATTGCCCAGCTCTAATTACAGAATTATTGGAGTTGGTTTTATTTTAAATAAAGTAGTACGGTGTTTGTTTATATTGTTCTTTGCTCCACTATGTGTTTCACTTGTTTTATGATGAGTCAAAACTAATTTTTGAAATAATTGACTGTTTTCATTTAGGAGTTCTTCCATTTTAACGCTTTGTATTCAGTTATTACATCATATCTAAAAGAGCGTAGTGTAAATTGTTTTAGTAATTTAGTGTTGATTTATCTAGCTTTCTAAGGATTTGGTGTGCCTTACTGGTTTTGAAGTAAACAACATCTATAAAGGCTTTGGTTGGAGAAAAAAATACAAGGCCCCCACTGATTTTTGCTTTGCAATAAAGGTACAAAAGTGTTCTTTTCATAAGAATGGAAATCATTTTATGTTTTAGTTACAAGAATGAAAATGTGCAGACCGTGAACTTACTTGTACATGATAAATCTATTATTATAATTCCATAGGCTCAAGACTACATAAAAGCCTTAAAAATTCTTTTAACTTGAAAGGATAATCAGGTTATATATAGTGTTAAAATAGATTTTGCATGCATTTAATGTATGATTTTTCTTTTGTTAGCTTCAAAATCCCATCAGCATAAATCTATTTCAGAGATGCTACAAACACTATGTTAATTTACATAAAATATAATTTATAACTCATATTTGGGAGGTTTCAAATATCTAACATATACTCATTGGAAAAAAGAAAAAAAGTATGTTTTCACTTAACATTGGCAAACACATTGGCTCTGTATCTAAAATAATTTGACTTTTTAGCTAATCCTGTATATTAAAGTACTTAATGATTTTCTTCTAATTCATTGCTTAGCATCCAGAGATTCAAGTAAAATGTTGCAGGAGCATCAAGTTTTTGTGTGCAGAAGACCTACGTACATTAAAGCTCTGGATGACTGGAATACGGATTGCCAAGGTAGAAGGAAGAGCTATAGATAAATGATAATTGGAATTTATAATATTTTAGCTATAACAAAGCAAAATCCCTCATAAAATAAGTCGATCATTGAGCAAATCAGGAATCTCATGATCCATCATTAGAATTTAAAATACAAATAGTTGGTTATTCAGCTTATGCTTGTAAATGAATATTTTGCAGAAATTTTCACTTCAGTATGGAGTATGATCACCATGAATTAGCATTGGTGTAGCATGTGTCAAATCATAGTTTTGATGTTACATACGTTGCAAACCATGATGTCTGTCTCCCATTTGGAAAGCTGCAGACGCAGGCAAGGCTAAACATTCACTTTTGAAATGACAGGAGAACAGGCATGAATAATGTTTATGCTAAATTTTATTTTGCAAGCAGGTTATTCTACACTAAATTGTCAGGAATTAATTACACTATCATTCACATTTCAAAATGTGATGTAACTTAAAGAATAAAAACGTAGATTTACCATAAGTTATTGTTGAGCGGCTCTTCGCATGACTGAAATGCTCAATTACTTTTCGTTGTGGGTGGTGTGCGTAGCTTAGAGCTTTAGCTCTAAGTTAAATCAAGAGTGCAACACAATTAACCTTTTTATATGCTGTATATATATATAAATTGATAGATTCACTTAAACTTTTCCCATCACTGGGGACAGGTACCCTTGACCACTCCTTTGATACAAATGTTTGCAGAATACCTATGGGGTCATGTGATGGGATCCAACCTGTCTCCCAAAAGCAGCTTATGCATCCTTGATGGGATTGAAGATCGGAGGGTGTGCAGGCTGCTCTATTTCATCAATTCATTCTTCAAACAATATATTGATTAGTTTAATGTGGTGAGGACACAAATATCATCCATTGGGCTAAGTTACTAATTGTACCAGCATACGACAGCACAAATAGACCTAAGGCAATATTAATAACATAGCATTAATGGTACCAAAATGCTATTGCTTTGCAGTTTATGTGATTCTTATCACAACTTTATGGTGTATATGCTTCCAATGCTTTGCCAGCTTTCAACATTTAAGCTGTAACTTAGATAGATGTCTTTGATGTCAAACTATGGTTCATGAACAACTTATAAAACTTTGAACATTTTAAGGTACTTCAAAGTGACAATTAAGACTATATTGCATGACATCAAACTGAATGATCAACCACTTGCATTTCTGATGATGTGGTGGATAATCAGATGCCTGATTTACATAAAAATAAACTCAAAAGGTATTTGATATTTTATTAACAGTGAATTTGCATGATCCTAACTATGCCATTACAAATTCTTACTATCTTTTAATTATTTTTTGTTGTATAGATACAGTTTTCTTTAAGTCTTTTCATGAGATCATTCTCAATTCTATAAGTGTAAAAGAGCTTACTGAGCAAGTCAGTTGATTTGAGAAGCAACAGAAGTTGTCAAATTCAATGGTTCCTTGTATTTTTTAATCAAATTTCACTTTAAAGTAGGAAAATTATTAAATAATAATTTTGATTGTTTTTCCTGGTTTAAGAAGTTTAAAAAACGAAAAACAAATGCTGCTGATTTAATTTATAAACACATAAAAATTATTTGGGTTATGTGTAATGAGTTTCATAAGTTAGAATTAACAATACAGATTTAATTTCCTAACACCCTACTTTCATAATTTAAAAAAAAATATTTCAAGTATTTAGAGAAAAAAGAAACTACTAGGTTAAAAAGGTTAAGCCTGATATATTGTGCTAAGCATAACATGTTATATTAAGGAGTAATAATGAATTTTCTTTTTATTATCACACTGTATTGATGATTGATTAATTCCTTGTAGTATGGCCATCAAATGAAAGAAAATTATGATAACGTATTAAGAGACATTGACGAAGAAGATTTGGATACGTTAGCCAATGCACGTAGCTTTTCTGTCAGTTCTATGGCAAAGACATTGTCTATTAACACTGGTGGAGTGGAAATACTTGACCAACAGGATCATAGAGGCATAGAACAGAAGAGTGTCTCTCGCTCATTATTAAAAAACCATACTGAACTGAGGCATAGTCAAGATTCTGATTTAGCAGCAAGTCACCCATCTTTTGATCGCAGCCAGAAACGAAGCTCAATCATTCGGCGAGACTCTATCAAGTCTAGTGCCAGTAGTAGTAGTAGTGGTTGTTCCAGTGTAAGCACTCCTACAAACGACCAAATAGCATTTGAGGCAGATTTTCCTGTTGGGACCATTAAACGCAAGCCTAATATGGCTCCAAAGATCCCTCTTACTAGTACAACACGTACAATAGCAAAACAATCTATGTCTGATGACTCTCGTAATAATGTTGTCAATTTAGATACAGTGCAAGAAAGCAACAAAGACATCAATGCAACAGCAAACAGCAACACTCTGGGTCGAAACTCTGTGACTCGATTAAGCTTGCGACGATCTCATACAGAAGATAAAATTAATGTAAATGGTGTAGCAAAGATTTTTCAGAGAAAACATTCCGTTGACTCAGGAACCTTAACAAGGCAGATAGAAGAACTTCATGCAATTGGTAATGGCACTTCAAATATTGAAACTGCTTCTACAGATAGTCGCACAGTAACACCAGTTAATAGTGTCGGTGATGTTGATGACCTTCCACTCCCTCCCCCACCTCCAGAACTTGAAACTAGTGAAGAAATATTCCACAGGGGTATGCTACCACCCCCTCCTCCAGAAGCTTTTAGTAGTACCCTTAGTTTGGACTCTTTACCACCACCACCTCCATCCCTTCAATTAGATGATCAGTCTAGTTGGCCTAGCACTTCTAGCTTAAACTCCTTGCCCCCTCTACCAAATGAAGTTACACATAGTCCAAAAAAATCAGAGGAAAACAGGTCGTTGCAATGGAATTCATGTATAGCAAATCAGAATGAAATTAAGACACCACAGAATGCACCAGTTGTGCCTCCTAAACCTAAAAAACAAGGAAGAGAACGTAGGTTATCAGAAGCTGATAGTCCATCCAGTTTTTCATCCCAATTATTGACAGACAGAAAACAAAGTCAGAGCAATACATCTCCTCGGTCAGCCCAGAAACCACAGCAGAAAATGGATTCTTCTTCAATCAATTGTTATGGAACTTCACCAAGATCAGGAGCTCAACATAAGTCTCCAGAGCATCCGAAAAGTCCAAAGCATGGATCTCTAAAGAGAGGTATATCTTTTTCTCAGTCACCAACTGAAAGTAACCGCATTGTTCACTTTGCAGTGGCTTCCAGCCCTAGCTCACCACAATTCTCGACTTCAGATGCTACCACACCTAACATCTATCAAAAACCAAATCCTCCCAAAAGAAATGAGACTACAAAACTATCACATCGAACCCACGTTCTGCATAACTCTTCTTCCGGCAGTAGCTGTAGTGAGCAAGAACATCAGCAGTCAAATGCCATTCCTCCTGAGTTCTTTCTACGTGACCTTCATCGAGTTATGGAGAAGAAATGGAAAGTTGCACAGCAGCTATCAGTTGATCTCACAGCAACACCTCACCAAATAATGGGTTTCAGAGACCCATGTTTCTTACCTCCAGAAGGATCAGTTCTTACTCACTCTGCACTTCATTCTCCTCCTACATCCAATTCAACTGATTACCATTCAAAACACCGCCATCATCATCACTCACAGAAATCATTAGATGGACATTCAAAACAAACAACCCAGGCAAAAAAGAAACCACCCCCACCTCCACCTAAACGAAGTGAAACCACACATCTCACAGTGAATATTACTTAGAACTATTTGAAGCATGCTAGTTGTTTACTAGAATGGACCTGGTTGTTTTATGTGTTGTAGCATAATGCTGCTGGAAAACATAAGATTTGTTTTAAAAGGGGGGGAACTGTCTGTGAAAGATCGGACTTCTAGATGGTGCTATGACAATTACTACAAGTTGTTTGACAGACTAGTAGTCTCATGAAAAAGTTGAAAAATATAAGAAATTTTAGGGGAAACTTCTGTTGTTATATGGGTTCCAAGGAATGTAATGAAAAAGGCAATTCAGACAAACTTTGGATAATTGAGATAAGAATATTCAAAAAGTAGCTATTTCTGATTCTTTTAAGTATGTAGTTCTATCTTACAGAATTATTATAGCATTACTATTTCATTATAAAAATACCATTTATGTGTTTATTATATTTTTGTTTTGGAACATAGGATTGATTTAAAGAGAGCATCGAGTTACACATAAAAATTATAAACATTTGTATATCTAAACACAGACACTACAGGAAGCATACAAATCGAATTGAGTAGGTTATAATGCTTTATTTCAGTCCACATGGTGATGCAACTGTTAATTTATTGGTAAAGAAAACACCTGTGTATTTTCTGTACTTATTTATCAGGAAGTTGTCCTAGTATCCAAAGAATCATTTCAAATTAATATCTTTAAGGGTTTCAGTTTTGCATTGGAAGAGATTTTGGTCAGTTAATTGATTTGAAAATTATTGTTTATCATACTCTGCATGTTAAAATATTATGAACATTATAAAAATTTTATTACTTTTTTTTATTATTTGTTTTGCCACAAGGTACAAGATAAGTTCTTTCATATTAATCAATTTAGTTATTTTTAAAATTTGTAATATAAAAATAAAAAGATTGAAGTAAGTAAAAGGGATAGTTATAATGTTATATACTCAGAACTTCAATAGTTTATATACAAGTTTTTGTGTTCTACCATTATCTTTCACTCAAGATTAAAGATGATCTACACCCTAACAAGTAAATGCACGTGTTCCTTGAACAGCCTGATTACTACCAGTGTTTGTCAAAAATTACTTGTGCTACAAGACATTCTCGATCTCTACAGGTTAAGGTAATATATTATTATTCCGTTAATTACAAGGAGATTTATCATTAACTTCTTTCTTGGAGACTCTGTATTTGTGTTGTTTAGCAACATCTTCACAGAAAATGGTTGAAGAACAATATATGGACAGCAGTGAAATGTCTGAAACTAAACTAAACCACTACTGTTCATTCATTACAGATAGAGCGAACAAGACTAAGTTGGAGCATGTGTGACTAGGGTTGTAAAAGTTAACTTGCATAAAATCATCTGGTGAATGAATGCATCAGGTGATAATAGTATGTGTAAACCATCTGTTTAAGCTTGGCACGATCATCCAAAGAAAACTCATCCAAGAAGAATAAAATTATCTGGTCAGAGCTTTGTGCAGTGGATATCCTCTAATACAATATAAAGTAGTATGTGTGTGTGTGCGTTTTTCTTGTTGAGATAATGATGCTTAATATTTTTGCTTCTATTTGAAAACTACACAGTTTGTATAATGTTTACTGTACACTTTACTGATGTCTTGAGAAAAGCTTAATCCTTCCATTATAAAATTTGTCTGTTTAGATAATTTTAATTTTACTGTTCTTCACTATATAGCATTCTTATTTTTTTTCTGTTTATAATGACCATTAATTTATTTTCTGCAGTAAGTAAACCACATTCCACAAAACTTTCATGGAACTTTTTTAACAGTTTATTAATTTGATAATTGTATTCAAGTTCCACAGAATTTGAAAGATGTTTTCAAGAGATATTACAATAAAAAAATCAAGGTTTTCTTTGAACTAGAAGCAGTTTTGTACTAAACCTGTAATACTGTTTATATATATACTCTCAGTTGTTATACACCTTCCTGCTTCATCAGAATTTCCCTGTTTACAGTTATTTATATATTAACACACCCCCCCCCCCCTTCTAATTTTCTATGTTGAGTTACTATCCATATTCTAAATCTAGAAATTATTGAAGTTACTCCAGAGTAAAATGTCAAGTTTCCAATGTGGATCGTTGGGTTAAGGTACTATACAAAGATAATAATACAGATTTAAATATAACATAAATATCTATTACTTGGAACTAACTTCAAAGGGATGGAAGTATTTGTTATTATTTTAGTTACAAGACCATATTTTTAAATTATAATTCAATTAGGCTATGTTAGGATAATTTTTTTATTTTTTTTTATTGGACTTAGATCACTCAAGATGAGAAGGCTCCTAGTTTTAGAAGGTGTTTTGCTTTCTTATAGTCAATTTTGTGCTGTTTTATTATTGTTTTTTTTTTTTATCAACATTTTCATATGAATATTTTGTTTTTTAAAATTATGGTTGCCTATTGCTAGGTTAAAAGATATTTATTCAAAATATACAAAAGTATGTTGATATTCTCAATGATATCTATACCAGATAATTCCCTCCTTTAAAAAATAACAACAGTTTGATTGTATTCAGCTCTGCAACTTAAAAACAAAATGCATTTAGGTGGTATTAACCCTAATTATTTAACACATCATTAGGTATAAAAACCTTAGAAGTGAGTGACTTTTATGTTATTGAATTATATATAATACACCTAACAACTGGTTTACAGTGAAGAATTTAGAAACTAGCTTAAGTATTTTGTAGTTGGGATAGTTTCTTGTCACAAAGATGAAAAGTATGCGCAGATTGTATTCTACTTGTAATTCATATGTATAGTATTGTAGATATTATAAATAATTGTTTAGAAAGCTTTCTGTGAAAATAGCCATATTCATTAACAAAAACCTTTCATGTTATAAATAATATGTTGATGTCTAGAAATCCACACCAACTTGCATCCCTTTTCTTTGTGGTTTAAGACACGCCAGGTTCTAACACAAGAATATTTGTGTTCATGAAGCAGCTGAGTGAATGTATGGTGTCTAAATGTGAATAACAATAAAAAAAGTTTAAACATTTTGTGATTTGTTCTTTATTGTACTGTCTCTTCATGATTTGTTTAACTGTGGTCTCATGCATGACCCAGACAATAATCATGCCAAAGGCCCGAGGGTGTGTGAAAAGAGTGATGGTCAAATCTTATTATTGGGTCTAACATGAATAGCCCATGAGATAGCCGTGCATGTAGTTGACTAGCTGCATTCCCTCTAGTCTGTAACTTCAAAACTTGGGATGCCTGGTGCAGATAGCTCTCATATAGCTTTGCACAAAATCCAACAAACAAGGCTTATTGGAATTTTACTCTCTCTCTTTCTTTTTAAGTTAATAGATTACTGTGTGAGAGACATAGCATTTACACTAGAAATTTACTATTACATAGAGCAGAGCAGTATGCAATTCCTAAAGCTGTTGATGTGAGGATATAAATATTTAAAACAAATGGATTTAATACAGGCTGGTAATGAACAGTAATCACAAATGTAATGGTATAAAGATGTGAATGGAATATGTAATTTACAACTAGACAAGGTGTCATTGAAGCACATTTTAAGACTATGTAAATTACTTAAGTATGCACCAGTTCGTTATAAGATTGTGCTTAGTCTGTGTTTCCCATGATTAAACACAAAACTTCATAGAGATCGTAAAACTTGTATCGGTATCTGAAGAGTTAATAGAAGAAAAAAACAAATAGTTTTCACTTAATTTATAATTTCCTATACATCAAAGTTTCTAAAGATTAGAAACTCAAACCATTAGAAGCCTCGGCCAGTACAGGAAGAGATTTAGCTTGGCTATATATATATATACATTTTTTTTTCATATTCAAGACTTCTCCAAATAAGTGAATAAAATTGTCTGAATTCGTAAAAATGCTTTAAAATATTATACAATTGTTTCACACAGTAACAAAATACAAATTGATTTGCTTGCTGTGTACTACAAAATTGTAAGTCATACAAATAATGTGTTTCAGATAATAACCAGTACACATGTTATACAAATACATAAAAAGTTACAAACAGCAAATGTTTAGAACTTGCCCAAGAACTGTGGTTTCCTTTTATGTTTTGGCTGCACAGTCAATCGACTGTATAGAAAAAGACTAAATAAAAAAAATTTTGCCAGCAAAATATTGAGGGGGGATATTCGCCACACAATTTAATTATGGGGGCACACCCCTGACCCCCCTCAGTTACGAAATTTATGCATCCTGCAATAAACTGTAAAGCTTATAACAAAGTGAGAATAAAGCCATGCACACAACAACACCTGAAAAGCAACAGTAAATTAAAATGGCTTACAATTGGATTTCACTTGGTTGTTACACTGAAATTGTTAATCTAATGTATTTTACTGCGATTGTTTATGTAATTTTTTTTTATACTGCCATCACACTTGGGAGACATTAGTTTGCAGCAGCATAGCTTTAAGAAAATGTTCTATAAAACAACCTTAGCACATTAATTACCATAAATCCTGTTTGGTGGTGAAAATCCTAACTTGACAAAATATTGAGGTTTTTTAGATCTAATGAAAGTGATAAAAATCATGTTAGACTACAGATTTACCCTTAATTTTATTTTTAATTAGTCCTTAATAGATTTGATAAGGCTTGTGTGTAAGAACAATATTTCACATACATTTTACTACAGTAAGTCAGCCTGAATGATTAGTTCTAATATTTAATAAAAGGCCTCTTTGACAATGACATGTGCCAGACACAAGTTGGGTCTGATATGTTTTTTTTTTTTGTTACCACTTCTGATTACAAGTCTATAGATGTAAAAAATTAAGAAAAAATATGAAGAAATAACACCTTCAGCCAAATGTGTGTTTTTATTACCCTAAATCTCATAATTTTCCACACATCACTTCAATGCAATAAAATTGTAATTTTCAAATCACAATGAACCAATCAGCACACACCTAGGGCTAATGCTAACTTACTTAACTAGATTTTCCACGTATGTCAACACATAACAATACTTTTCTGAGTGTGAATGGCTATGATGTTAACATGGTAGTTTCTAAGTAAACCTTTTAAATCAATTGCATTATCTAACAGTAAATAACTCTAATAATTTAATATAGAACAAACCTTTTTACATCCAGTAGCTGTGAGTAACATACAACTGATCACATCCAAAATAGTAGGAAGGACCATGGCACAGTGAAGTACTGGCTATATTTAGCTATCCCCTGAGGGGAACTTAGTGATGATGTTACCAGATTGTACCATTGAGCAAGTCCCTTAATTTCATAGTTCAAAAGCAGTTGATTACAGCTAATCTTGAAGTGGTGAGGGAAAACGTGAAGACTATGATTATGAAAGAGAATCCTCCGACTTCAGAAATAATGTGATGAAGCTGGCCAAATATTCTAGTACCATTAAGAAGATAATAAGTAAGGGTATGAAATGAACAAAGATTCACAAATCAAACTTTCACAAGCTTCCAACTGCACCTCAAAATCAAAGGCTGCTTTCCTATAAAAGAGGCTGGAAGCATAGCAATTATATTTCACCACTTACCTGTCGAGGCTCCTGTTACAACCGCAGTAGACTTGTGTGGCTTTGCAACCCAATACTCGACTCTTGTATACTGGAAGGTTTGTGAAATGTCTGTTGAGATGTATAGTCTAAGTTTCATCTAATAGACCCTTGTAAAGATGGTTATAATGGTGGTGTCAAGCAGAATGAGCACAACAACAATGGAAGTAGTAGTTAATTCCAAGGGTAGGATGGAATGTGTTCTTGTTCAGTGTGACTAACTTTCTGTAAAGTCTTGCTCTTAAGTTCATTATTCTGTACAAAATTAGAAAAGAATAAATAGGCAAAAGTATTTTTTCAAACTTACTTCTACTCCTGGACAGATTACAGAGAAATCAAAGCATCATTATTCTCCAAAAATTTATTGTTACTTAAAGGAAAACTAATAACTTTATGCTTCATTATATTTAAAATATGCAAAATGACTGTCTAGATTCTTTTTATTCAAATTCTTTGCAAATCTGATGGATTACAATGATTCAACAAACAAAAACTTGACTAACAAAACTTCAACATGTAAGTAAAGGCAATTTTTTTCATTTACCTTCTTATTTTTGAGCAAAATACAGATGATAAATGAAAAACAAATCTCAACAAATATTTTGCACCAGAAATAATTTTTAGATATCTTTGTACTTCGATTTTTGAACATCTGTACACGTTACAAACATTTACTCTATTGTTGGAATGAATAAAGTGTACAAATGCATGCTTGTAAATTTTTTTTTTCTTTAACAAAACCTCAATCCTAAAACATGTTTAATACACTTCAGTTAGAGTATGTCTTGTTAACATGATAAAGTAATGTAGAGATCTAAGTATACTGAATGATTAATATTTACATTAAAATCATACAGTCGGTCCTGATCTGTCAGTGAGCACAAAATTATATGAAATGGTATTTCAGCAAACACCAGAACCTCACATTAATGTCTACAATTCAAGTTTCAACATGCTAGTTCCACCAACCAGGAAGAATTTTAAGAAGATCTCAACCAAACAAGGTATACAGATTTACTGATTCTCAGTTTGAATTACAATTGTGATGTAAATAATATAGTTTCTGAAGAATAAATGATATATAATAACTATGCTTTTGAATAAGTATTTTCTTATATTTTATATTTGCAGAGTTAACATGACTAAGTGCAAAATGTCTCTAGGCTTATGCAGAAATAGCTTCTTTTAATATTTAACAAAATAATTCACTTGTCATTAAAACCTATTTTTATGTTTTTCTTAAATAAAAAGAAAATGAAAAATTAGCCATAAACAAATCATAACAATAAGATTAGATTTTAACATAATAATAACAAACTATATTGATTGTATGTTCTAGTACACATAAAATGTCAGTATGTTACAATGGTTAGGAGTGAAAAGTAGTTGTGAAACACTACTTCATAATAAGATGTGGATTTATTTGTTGTTGAGCACAAAGCTACATAATGAATTGGCTATTTGTGCTCTGCCTAAAGCATTATAAGCCCTCTGGCTTACTGGTGAGCACTAATAACAATATAACCTTTGTGCCAAACCTAAAACAAATCTATGAAGTAGTTAGTTAAATTTTGTTTAATCAACTTCCTAGGGCAATGTTTCCAAAAGGATACATCACAGCACACTAATCCATTGGAAGTGAACTGGCAGAGTTCCACAAAAACAAATTCACTTTCCTATAGCCATTTTTAAACAATTAAAATAAGACACATTAGAGTAATAAATTGAACATTACAAGCAACTGAAAATTCAATCACTGTCTGCTTTTTAAGTATTTATGAAGAAAAATTTGTGAAACAATGACAGAGTATATAAGCAAAAAATGGACTAACTCCAACAAATAAAGAAACTATTCAGCATGTAACTGAAAACTCTTACATATACTAAACAATTACAAGTAGATACATGGCCAAGGATGTTACAGAAAACATTTACTTAACTGATAACGAATTTCAGTGGTTGAGTAAACTAACAAGGGCATGATAAGAATCTGTTAAGAGGAAGACAGGAATATCTAGGGTGGGAAAGCTTGCTCTTAAGTAAATTAAGTTAACTAGGGTGTATCAATATATTCATATCAAACTTTAAGAACTTCTATAGATGTATATACACTCAAACAGTTGTGATGTCAATATTTCTTTACATAATTATTATAAAGTTAAACAGAGCCTGAAGGTAAAAATAAAATCAAAGCAAAATGTGAGTGGAAAATTATGTTTTAAAATTAGACAGTTTTGTCAAACTAAAAATTTATACGTAAAATTACTTGAGTATATGCCATTTAACTGCAGTTTCACTTGAGATTAAAACATTCACTTTTCCAAAACTAATTTTTTGTTTTTAAACAAGTTACATACTAATTTTCTGTATGCTTTGTTAGACCAGCATAAGTAAATATACAGTATGTGTGTATAACATTTACAAATATTTATACTTTTTGTTTCATAAAATGATCAATAATAAGACAATACTTAAAGAAAAATCGAACTACCATTAACCTGAATCCCAATTTAACAATTTTTAATTCCTTTATATAAAAAATAAGAAAAGCTTGGGCTACAGCCAGAAAGTGTAAAGAATTTTACACGCACAAAATAAAGAATAGTTGACCAATGTTGTTCCCTTGATGATGTCAAACATGAGGACCTTACACCATTAAATTAAACTAGCCTCTATTTTCAGACAATCACATTTAATTTTGTAAAGCTTGCTGAAAACATTTGACGTTAGTACAATTAATGGTTTTCTTTACACACACTGCAACATTACTCTTTCCTCACTATGCACCAGTTTATGAACAAACAAACGATTTTTTTTTTAATGGTAATAGGTATATTTACACAACAATTTTTATATGCCGAGACTATTTAATTTTTGAATATTCTGAATATTTATATTTTACTATATCATTTTCAGTTAGATGCTTGAAGTGTACATTTTACGGTACATGAGACAACAATGTCTAGCCATCTTTTATGGAAATGTAAAGAACTATTAGATATTAATTTTCTTAATCTTAAATTGTATCCAAAAAACATGTTTGGTTTTCATATTAAACATTTTTAATATTAGGTTACTAAATACAATCCATAAACATCTTTCAATACATGGTTCATGGCAGTGTGAACCTCTGCTTACATATTTCTTGTAACTACTAAATCATGATCCACTGTTAGCCAATTCTCCTTCAGCACTAGATTTGGTGTCTAAATTATTGTAAAACTCAGTGAAGCACTTTTAATGATCATAGTGATAACAAATCATCTCTACAACTCAACTCTTATGGAGCTATGACTATTCATTCCCCTTAGTTATGAATGTGTTCCTCATTTAGAGTTACTTCTTGTTGTGGGTCTTCATTGAGGGTTACTTCTTCAAAGGTTTTGCTGAGGATTACTTCTTCTTGTGGGTCCTCTTTATCTACTACTCTAGGATATTCTTCACCTGTAACCAACAAGCACCGAAAAAATACTTAATAAAACCACATATTAGTTACCTCTTAAACAAAACTGTGCAGTCAAATAAATGTAAATTCTTATCATAAAACTATAATTTTCCTTATTTAATGAAGCTTCTTCTCATAGATTAGAGTGAGTTTTGAATTTATGCCTAAACAGAAGAGATTGGTAAAATAAAGAAAAATTAACGTCTCCAAAGAAAATAACTTCAGCCAGAGATAATTCAATTTGTAGACATTCAGTTTTATTTAATAAACAAGTTCAGCTTGTGCATAATAACTGGAGTTTCCATAACAGTAAACACTTCCAGAACTTTTAGATGAAAGAACAACTGTTTTATCTAAACAAATTAAAAACTTTGAGATTATATTATGAAGTGCTAATCAATAAATTAGAAAAGTTACGATAAAGTTTCACAAACAAACATTACTTACCTGCTGGCCTTAAGACGAGGAATTTCAAAATGTCAGAAAGAGAAACAACTCCAACAACATGATCATCATCATCAACCATAACTAGTCGATGAACCTTTTCAAATTAATCAAGAGGAAAGCAGTAATATAAATGAAATTTGTTGCACACTCACATTTAACTTGTACAATATTAGGAAAATAAAATATGCAGGATGGTATTTATATATTAACCTGCTGACATTTAACACACACATAATAAAATTGCAGGGTGGTATTCTAGAAAGAAATTGCTGACATTTAACATACATAATAAAATTGCAGGGTGGTATTCTAGAAAGACACTGCTGACATTTAACACATACATAATAAAATTGCAGGGTGGTATTCTAGAAAGACACTGGTTTAACACACACATAATAAAATTGCAGGGTGGTATTCTAGAGAGACACTGCTGACAAAAGAAATTCCTGACATTTAACTCAAAACTGGTAACAGAACTGTACAGTGGATTCTGAACATACCTCATACATAATAAAAAAACCAGGATATTACAGATATAAGCTCCTCATGTTTAACTAATATATAATATAAAAATTGTGGGGTGTAATTCCAGATATAAGCTGTGTACAATTAAATATAAACTACCATAAAATATCTGTTCTCTGTGCTGTGGGATTCATAGGTCTCCTTATGATTCAGAGAGGGCATAATGTATTGATCAATGGGTATCAGGATGACCCCCCTCCCAAAACAAATACCCATTAGGAAACCTGCCTGTGGTACCTGAGAATGTCTGCAAAGTTTGGTCTAACTAGTTTGTCAGTGGGGGTATAGACACAGTTTCAAACCTAACACACCAAGGGGGCCTGAAATAAAACATTTGATAGCAGAAATCTTTCTCTTATATCTCCATCATGCCTGGATGACCTTCTGGTGACATATTATCTGCACTCATTACACCCTTGGCATGAGGCTATACCATAGAGATAAGAACAATGCCATCTTGAGTCTACCTGCTGTTATTGGTCCTGATATATCAGTTCCCCAGTGGCACAGCAGTATGTCTGCAGATTTCCAATGCAAAAAAACGGGTTTCGATACCAGTAGTTGGTAGAGCACAGATAGCCTATTGTGTAGCTTTGTGCTTAATTACAAAACAAACAAACTTGCTATATCTGAACTGTCGGAGGAGTCAACTGTATATACATACATACAAAGCTACAAGATGAATTAAAATATGTTTAAGTATAACATTCTAGGGGAAAGCAACAGACATTTAACAAAATTATATAATGCAATACAATTACTTTTTTCCATATTAGTGTCAACAATGCATTTAACAAACACATGTTCACATAACATGCTTAGCCTTACATCCATAGTATATACACATTGACACAAGAACTGCAATACAATGAATACCACAATTAATTAATCAAAATAACGCTCCCTCACCTCAGCTTTGACAAGTGTCTCCACTACATAACCCAGTGTGTCATCAGCTTTACATTTCAATACTCCTTCAAACCACTGAAAAACATCAGAGGAATAAACTTTTCAAAACGTCAACTAAAGAATAAAAAACATCTAAGATGTAGATGCTTCGTTTTCAAAACTAAAAATGTATTATTCACTGACTTACTTCTCTACAACAAACTACATACACCATTTTACTGGGACTGTGAATTCCACAAGCAGAAAATGAGACAGAATTGGCTAAATTAACTTTAAAGCTTAAGATTTTGTTCCAATATATACACCTGTAAAAAAGTTAAGCACCCCCGTGTTTTGTTCAAGTGATTCAGATT